TAGCCTGGTAAGATCCAGTATCATGGGACCATTAATCTTCGTCTGGCCTCTTTGCCGTCAGATTAGAGGATCCTCCTTGATTCTCCCTAGGTCTCTCGCAATGGCGTAGAGAAAGGGCGAGCGTTAAAAGAGTCTCTCGACGAATATAAGCCGCTCTTCGAAGGCCACTTGATTTAATGGTACAGTCAAAGTTAATAATACCGCCAAGATTAAGCCTTAAGATACATCTTTAACACTAATTAACACACCAAATTTCGTCTATCTCTTTGCACTGGGATAATAAATCAAACGACTGTTAATTACTCTCCGTATATAAAGGACAACCCGAATTAGCAGAATAATAATGCACATTTGTGTATGCTTACAATTTTTTTTTTTACAATAAATTTCGATCAAAAATTATTGGTTTACGCAGATACACCGAAACGCGCAGCGTCAATTTAATTAAGGAAAGTTAAAGTCAGATTTAATAACCGACATAATTACAGTAAGATTGTCAGGATTAAATAATTTCATAGCAAGAAATTAGGTCAATTGCATCGCGCGATTTTCTTATTCTTCCTCTTTCGGAACAGCTTTGACGCGATCCCTTTATTTTACGCCATTGTTTGCGTGTCGCCGAACGATCCTTTTAGCGAGGTGTAAACGAATGAATCCGAATTCGCACTGGTGTTCTCGTTTGACGTTGCGTCTACGTTGCCGGGACTTATCTTGGCCAAAGGCAGCAAAGTTGATAGCGTTATCGGGGACGCCTGATCGCTTTCCTCCTTCGTGACCGCGATACGTCCTTATCTCGGCGAAAGGTTTTGTTTCCCGATCGAAAGAACATGCAATCCGCCAATTGTCAGTTCCGCATGCGTCCTATCTCGCATTCATTTCTTATTACGCCTTCATCCCGAATACTCAAACGTCCGCATTCTTTGCTAAGTACGTGGATGTTTTTTCGATTTTTTTTTAATAATAATAAATCGGAAAAATACTGATATCAATGTAAATTCAGGTATGAAACGGGCTAAAATTATTTTTAAATTCGTCTATACTATTATTTTTGACAAAATAAGTATAGAGCAGTTTACGAATGATTTTGTCGCACCTGAGAAATTATTTTTAAATTCGTGTTGGGCCAAAATAATAAATTAGATAATAAATTAAATAATAAATTAGAAAGATGCTGATATAAATGTAAATTCAGGTATGAAACGGGTTAAAATTATTTTTAAATTCGTCTATACTATTATTTTTGACAAAATAAGTATAGAGCAGTTTACGAATGATTTTGTCGCACCTGAGAAATTATTTTCAAATTCGTCTTGGATCAAAATAATAAATTAAATAATAAATTAGAAACATGTTGATATAATTATTAATTCAGATATGAAACGGATTAAAATTATTTTGAAATTCGTCTACATATAATTTTTGACAAAGTAAGTATAAAGGAATTTAAAAATAATGTTGTCGCACTTAATCTGTGTCTGGCTCCTATTAGCCCCTCTTATAACTAAATTAATATTTTTATACTTGTATGTACTTTCCCGATGAGTGATAATTAACACAAAATAGGGAACTAAAGAGATACAGGCTCCGGAGATATAAAGATATAAGTACATTACGAGTTTTAACGTCCTTGTCATTATCGTTTCGTCCGAATTCCCGGATATCCTGTAATGAGATATTATTTTCGAGCGTTTCATTTCTGCGCATGTTGGCGGTCGCGATGCTGAGTGCATTAGAGCAAAGTGCATCCAAGTCCCCGGCTTGCGTTATGCCATTATCAGGATTACCAACGGGAAATGCCTCTCCTGTTTTTCTCCGCACCCGCGTAAAATTGTCTGGTTAATTGTATTTCATTGTTAACTCTCTCTCTGTTGTCTCTATATCTATGTCTATGTGTTGTTGATCCTGTGAGCAGCATGCAATGTACCGAGAAAAATACGTCGATGTGTACTACAGAATCGCTCGTTAGTTTTGCGCGCTTCGCTGTTAGCGAGATCAAAAAAATCACGACTGCGCTACGTGAACTTTTTTATCGATCCGCAATATTTACACGGCGCATTCCGAAAATTGTCGAAAAGTGATTGGATCCAAATTGAATAGCGAGTAATGTTTCATTAGCGTTTCTCTGACAATGAGAAAACAGAGAAACGCAATTGTCAAAATTATTGTTTTATGTTAAAGAATAATAGAATTCTTTATTTGAGTTTTTTAACATTTATATATATATATACGCAAATGATAAATATATTTAAGACATTTTTAAATAGCTACACGTATTTTTAAGTAACTTGAACATTCTTGATCATTTTATCAATAATATTGATTTTAAATTTATTTTTAAATAATCTTTAATACGCACACACTGAAATAAAAGTTTGTTAAATTAACAAATATTTAGTTCAATAAATAAATCATTTATTTGAAACAAATAAATATTTATTTGATATATTTATTTATTTATTTATTTAATATAAAAAATACTTATTTGATATAAGAAAATTCTTTTCAACACAAATAAATATTTATTTGTGCACTAATCACAGAAACATGCAAATGAGACAACTAAAATTTAAGGAGATTGTTGACTCGATCGATAGTAACATAATACATACATAATGAAAATGAATGGATCAAGTTTTCTCGAATAAATGATTTCATAGCCGGCGGAAGTCATTTGCATCGAGCTCGTTTTCGCTCAACTGTCGTTTGCGCGACAGTTTCGCTTACATCGTCATCGCGATTGCGATGCCGAAATGCCTGATAATGCAAATGCAGTTCGAGAATGGGCCATCCGGTAGTTCTGATACTCGTTGACATCCAGTAACGCAACGTCACGTAATGCAGGATTCGTTTATGTGAATTTCTATAGCGTGCGATAAAACTGCGTAGAGTGAAAATTGCTTGACCACACGTGCATCGTCATATCCTCGTTATTCGCGATTATTCTCAATTGCACCGAATTATCTTATAACGACTTAATTTTTTGAAAAAAAATGTAGAAGGAATAATTATTCTACTTATTATCGGCGCAGAAAATATAAATGATAAAAAATGTAGATATATGAACACGTGGAAAATGAAACAAAAATTATATAATTTATATACTTTATCTGTGAATTCTTTAATGAAGTTAATTCATTTTTTGTAGTCAAAAATTTGATATTTTTTTCACATCCTTTTTAATTTGTAACATTTAAAGTTCTTAGATTAAAGAAAGAATTAATAAAAGAAAAGAAAAAGTTAAGTAAGAGCAAACTTCAAAAATAAGTTAAGAAAATTGATAAATATTATATTAATTCCAATAGATTTCAACAGATAGTGATGACATAATAAAGGTACAGGATGCATCGTGTTTGAAGATTTTTTGTTGAAATGCAAGATGCAAGTGTAATTTTGCTATATAATATTAATTAATTTCCTTTATTTTTCTAACTTTGCTTTTTTAATTAGGAAAAATATACAGAAAAAATATATATTTTTATCTACATTTTTTTGTTATCGGACTGGAAGTTTATTCAATGAAATCAGATGTTATTTTTAATCTCAATTTAATCTAATCTAAATTAATTTGTTTTAATACACTCCCTTATTATTTCGAAAACAACAAGATTTAATTTAATTAGGATTTAATTAAGATAGTCTACATAATTGAAAATAAGAATCTGTATAATTGAAAATATAATGAAATAATAAATACACGGATAATTACAAAACTAATTATACAAATAATTCGAAAGTAATAATTGCGCATATTTATACATATTATGTATCGAGAATATAAAATCAATACAATATTGTAATTACATATCAAAGAATTAAATATAATAATTAATATTAGTAAATATATATGTATAACAATAAATATAATAATTTGATATTTTCTATAAAATGTTTCATTTTGCTTTCTATTTATTCGTATTACTTACTTCTTTATGCATTATGCTTCCTTCTTAGTTACTCGTCTTCTGTGTTGGCTCTTATTTTTCTTACTTCTGTTTTTCTTTCATTTTCTATTTCCAATTTCAAACATATTAACATTAAAGCATTATATTTATAATGATTTAAAACGGCAAATTAACTTACTCTGTAATTACTCATTTTATTAAAGTAATATGCGACTGTCATCATCAAATAGTAATTATAGCTTTATAATTATAATTATAATGGGAGGCTGCGTTTACACACGCATCTGTGCGTGATATTTCTCATTATTTTCCATTTAGGATTTAACGAGAAGAGAGAAGAATGTCCCTTTGCGCGCAATGATTTGTGCGTTCACTGTATGTTCACAGAGAGGGAGAGAGAGAATTACAGATAATCAATTTTGTCTAATTAAAACTTACAACAATCGAACATTCTCAAATACTATACGCATTGGAAGGCTGACAACTGCACATTGTCCACGTATACACGCATATATTCCATCGAGTCTATTATTAGTTTCTTGCTATTATCTCTTAATTACGTGCTTTTTTTTAAAACAATAAATAAATTTTAATTAAATAATCTAAATAGAATAAATTTTTATATTAATAAATTATTAAATTTTTATGTTAATAAAAATTTGTATTAAATAAATTAAATATTTTAATAAATTTTTGTTATTACCGAATTTATACTTGTATTGTATCTTATTTAAAAAAAAATTGATTCTATTTTATTTTTTCGCATATGTGTCTTTCACCTACTAACTTATTTAAATTTCACTCGTGAATATTGTATTTCGCTTATGCAGAGAATTTCTTCAAGGACAAACGTGAGATCGGCGCACTTCGCCTGTGACTATCGTAAGCATATTCCTGTTTACGTTATCGTCTCTGCATTGCAATCGAAATCGTGCGAAGAGTCGAAAACCGATGAATGCAGAGACGAGGCATATCAATGTTTAAAGACACGTCTATATACACAGAAACTTTGGATATATCATACTATCCGAATAATAGAGATTATTCATGCGAATCTGAAAATATGCAGTCACTGTGAATATAAAAAGACATGCTTCTAAACGGGAGCAATTAGTCGTGTGCAATTACTTAGTACAAGTAATTAAGTGGTCCATTTTGTGCTATATAAAGGTGGATTTGATATTCATTATGGTTCAAAGACACGTTCTGTCTGTCGTCTTCTTGGCGCTTATTTCTGCCAACGTATGTACATATTATAACATTTTTCACGTCAATATTTTTTGATAAAATAGGAAAAGATTTGAACGGAATTAAATTACTGATATTAATAATTATTTTTTATTTTAATTACTAATTAAATAAAAAATAAATAATTATTTGTAAATAATATTATAAGTATAATATTATTTGTAAATAATTTACAAGATGATCTAGAGGAGCATCTCGATACATAAAAATTGTAAACTAAATAATTATTAACTGGTTAATATAGTAATATTTTATATAATAAAATAAAGTAATTTAATTTATACAGGGTATCCCAAAATTAATAGCAAATCTTTTAATGGCAGATTTCTGGGATCATTTGGAGACGATTTTTCCTCAGCGAAAATGTCGAGAAAGGCCATCATTTTTTGCATGTTCCTAATTATTGCCATCCTGTATCTTCGTAATTAAATCTGAAATTAAAATTCTATTAAAGTCAACTCTACATAAAATTAATCAAAGAATGTGATTTTGTTAATATTTTATTTCCATAAGGCTTAGTTTGCGAAAGACCTTTTATTTTCGGTGAGGAAAAATCGTGTCCAAAAGATCTTAGGAACCTGCCATTAATTTCAAGACACCCTGTACAATATATAACATATTTGGCTGTACTGGATATTGTTTAACATCTTGTATAATTATTATGCAGGTGATACAAGCAGGAGTGATTATTCCATCACTGCAGGGATTATTCCATCAAGATGCTCTGCCCAATTTCGTCAATCTTTTAGACATACCCAGAATTGGCCAATTTTCTCATGATCTTGCCTCATCGGCGGCTAGCGCGGCAGCACGTGTCAGATCCTACATGGATGACTTCGGTACTGGCTTAGGCGGTCTAAATGTTCTACCCCGTCTGCACGGTCTCTTCAATGGAGGACTATTATCGGGTCTTGGTCATCCGGCCATTCTGAACGGAGCCGCGGACACTATTGCAGACTCGGTTGCAACGAGTCTTGTGCCTAGCGAACATCTAAGAACATCAGGTCTCTTTGGAAGAGGTCTCTTAGGAAGAGGTCTCTTGGGAAGAGGTCTCTTGGGAAAAGGTCTTTTGGGCAATTACGAAGCAGGAGGCTCTAGTGGTGGTGCAGCATCCGCAGCTGCTAGTTCTGCAACTGGAGCCTAAGCTAAATATTTAAACTGAAACAATCGAATATACTGTGCGTCAATTAATGTTTATATATAATGTTGATATATAATTTTATATATACATATAATTATATATATACATATATAATATTTTAATATATATATATATATATATATATATATATATTTATTATACATTGAGATTATCAAATACTATGTAATATGTAATTTAAATATTTATTGTACATTACATATGTTGCAATTGCAAAATACTAGTGATCGCAAATACTTGTGTCCAAATGAAAAATAAAATATATTCTTATAAAAAATATCGAGATGGTGTTAACTGCATGTGACATATCCTATTATTTTTTAATTCTGCTTACGATTTTTACTAACTAAAAGATAAATAGAGATTAAATAATTAGATATTTACTTATATAAAACCAATATATTTATAGATATATCTTTAATGTTAAATAATTCGAATGATGCAAAATTATTTTCGCTGAATGTGCGCTAGTAAAAATCAATATTCAGATATAATTCTAGAATATATGTGCATGTATTACGAAATATTACTTGTTTATTTATTAATTTTTACTTTAATTTTATGTTTTCATTCTTATGTTTCTTCAATTTCAGTGCATTATATAAAAATAACAATATGTGTTTTTGTGATCTTTTCTACATGCATGCTGCATAATCGTAAATTGCGATTTATATACGGCATATGCAATGATAAATTTACAGAGATGTATTTTTTCTGCTTAAATTATAATATGTGCATTTTATTTTAATGTATACGTTAGAAATAAAATTCCACAAATTTCAAAGCGGAGAAAAATCACGATTACACTTGCTAATATACCGTTTTTATTTGCCATATGTATAAAATTCGGAAAAAATTCACGCATGAAAAGAACAAACCATCTTAGAATTGAATCATGGGCAAAAGCATGAGATCTAGTATATAATCTAAATTCTGCAGCGTGCGCGTTCTGCTTTTACTGAGTAAAGATATTTACTTAGTAAAAGCAGAACGTTGACAAACGAATTTCCGGTGTAAGATTTATATTGCTTGTACATCAGCTATACTCGCTTCTTATGTTTACATAAAAAAATCCTACTAACATGTTAATTGCGTCATACTTGCACATTAATTGCAACACAGTTTTAATAAGTTATTGTATAATTTTTAAACCAATTTACCGCATTTTTCCACACAAAATATATCTTTCGGATTTCCAAATATTTCGCTTGACGATTAATTTCCTGCAACCAATTATGACACTAATATTAATATAATAAAATATAAATATTAATATAAATATATCTTCCCTAAAAAAGATTTCTAACCGAAACGTTTAAAATAAGTATAGAGAAATTTAAAAATAATTTTGTTGCACCCAATATTTTTTCCTATTAGTCCTTTTTATATCTAAATTCATGTTGAGCCTTTTTCGATTTTATTTAATTTTAAAGTAATAAAATAATTTGCCTCATTGTTATTAAAATACATTACATGTGTATTGAGAAACTATAAATATAATAGAGCGTAATCGTTGTATTCCAATGACTTTTACTACTTTTTCCATATAGAGGAGTGGCTATAAAAGTAAGTCTATCGAAGCGGTATAAATTCTAACTAACAAAAGTATTGCGACATTTATGTACACAGAAACGGCGATATAAATCTCATCGACAGTAACAGTTAAGAAAGCAATTAACGGTCGCCAATGTCGTCTAGTTCTGCCATGCACTATCTTACTGTCCTTGCGCGAGCTATTTCCTTCTTGACATATATTTTGATCGTAACTTGCATTGTGTAGATCCAGCATTTTTTCTATTTCTCTCTCTTACATCACTTTAACATTGAATACAATAGTTGTTTGTCTCGACATAGATTTTTAAGAGAAAGATAATATTCGATGTGTAATTATGTAACTACTAGTGCGAAATAATTCTGCACTATAAATTAATTATTATATTAAGTAGGTTTACATTAAATTATTAAATAATTTTACATTGTATATGTATGTGTTGTAATACTCAGAACACAATTTCAAAATTACAGAAACTTTCTTCTACTGTTGATACTTTCTGCGAAAATGAAATCAACAGTCGAACAGGAAATTGCGAGATTTCTATTTAGTAGCATTCTGGAACTAACAAATAATTAAATCTGTAGTTTTGCAGTGGCTTTCTCCAATGGCGTTACTTCCACACAAAATATCTTTCGGATTTCAAAATATTTCGCTTAACGAAAAAAAGAAATTCCTAAATTTCTTGCAACCAATTATGACACTTCAATATTAATATAATAAAATATAAATATTAATATAAATATATCTCCCAAAAAAGGATTTCTAACCGAAACGTTTAAAATAAGTATACTGAGAAATTTAAAAATAATTTTGTTGCACCCGATATTTTTCCTATTAGTCCTTTTTATATCTGAATTCATGTTGAGCCTTTTTCGATCTTATTTTAATTTCATGTTTTTATTTTTATACCAGTGTAATAACGATTTTGATAACGACATATTATAGATCGAGTATCGTGCTACAACTATCACTGTTTAATTTCTTGCAACCAATTATGACACTTCAATATTAATATAATAAAATATAAATATTAATATAAATATATCACCCCAAAAAAGGATTTCTAACCGAAACGTTTAAAATAAGTATACCGAGAAATTTAAAAATAATTTTGTTGCACCCGATATTTTTTCCTATTAGTCCTTTTTATATCTGAATTCATGTTGAGCCTTTTTCGATCTTATTTTAATTTCATGTTTTTATTTTTATACCAGTGTAATAACGATTTTGATAACGACATATTATAGATCGAGTATCGTGCTACAACTATCACTGTTTAAATTTCTTGCAACCAATTATGACACTTCAATATTAATATAATAAAATATAAATATTAATATAAATATATCCCCAAAAAAGGATTTCTAACCGAAACGTTTAAAATAAGTATACCGAGAAATTTAAAAATAATTTTGTTGCACCCGATATTTTTTCCTATTAGTCCTTTTTATATCTGAATTCATGTTGAGCCTTTTTCGATCTTATTTTAATTTCATGTTTTTATTTTTATACCAGTGTAATAACGATTTTGATAACGACATATTATAGATCGAGTATCGTGCTACAACTATCATTGTTTAAACGAATAAGGCAGTTTGGACGAGTCTTTCGACGTTGGCGGTCATGAATACATGTATGCAGTAGGAAAGCTGATTGAAATGTAATGGTTGCGCCACAGCTATTACGTTTACAATGTTCGCTGGACCGACGCATGATGGTGTTGTCTATAGATACTCTAGTAGCAATCACAGTTCAAGCACATATTATAAAATTCCAATATATGTTGCTGGGGTGTATTATGTACTTGGTTGCGAAGCAATTTGCGATAAATCGACTTTGTATGTTTTTTTAAGGAAAAGATTTTACAAGTGTATAAGAAATAATTTTTGTTCTCCTAATAAACAATCAACGTAAAAAATTAATTATTCCAGCCAAAGATTAGGTTGAAAAGACTGCTTCCCCTAATATATCAGTTTACTTCCTTAGTTTTAAACAAATTCAATGCCGCAATTAAACTGTGATATCGAGTAATATCAATTGATACACGGTTGAAAAATTTCTGTTAAATTTAACAGATATCACGTGTCCCAAACGGTCCACAGAAATTTTTGTGTTAATTTAACATAATATGGATATGTTAAATGGAGACACAAATATTGTGTTAATATTTTAACACAAAATAAATGCAAAACTTCAAATGCAAAAATAAATGCAAAAATTGAAAATATGTTGATTTTAGATTTTATCATCCCCACTTATATTATAAAATAGAAAATCAACATTTTTCCTTTTGACAGATAAATCTTGTCACTAATAACAGAACATATTTATTGGGTAAAATTAAAAATTGATGCACATTGTATTATTTTTACATTTTTTCAGTTATTTTAATAATTTAAGTAATAAATTAATACAGGAATGTGCTAAATATTTAACACAAAAATTTTTCACGGGGACCGTTTTTGACAAGAAAACAAACTTTTCTACTGTGTATATATCGAGTAATGTTACGAATATCAAATATATACAAGGGAATACATATATATTGTATTACATATCCGGGAAAATTAATAGAAGAGGCAGCGGCAAATCCGATAGATATAGTTTTACTGCGAAATCATTTGACAGCTGAAAGAGGTAAACACGCATTACAAAGGCGGACGCGTCGCTGTGCGTGAAACGCTCGTTGTCCGTGCAAAATCATGCGAATGATTCAGACGTATTGCTGAATATGCGTAGTAAATCAATGTATTCCCAATCGGATCCGTATCATTTAGAGGGCATAATCGCATCGGAGACCCGGAATATCATCGTCGACTGGCATCGCGCGCTGGCTGCGCGCTCATTCCCCGGGTCCCACGTCAGCATGTCGAGTGATTTGAGAACAATATCAACGACGTGCATCCGTCCCGGCCAATGAGAACGGATACAGAGTTACGCGTACGCGAATTTGCATAACTCGGTTCGTTGCGGACGTGCGCCGCATACCTCGGCGGGCTGGTGTTGTCGTGCGATTTCATTCGTAACGTCATCGCGCGGTCTCTCTTTTTCCGGGATCCTTCACTCCCAAAAAAGCGACTCTCCACGAAAAATAGCAATATGGCACATATATTGTATTTCGAAAGAATTTTTAATTTTTAATATGACGGAGAGCCGGTCATTTAAATGCGCGCAAAGCTTATGAATATATTAGTATTTTTAGAAATAAATTAAATGGAAAGAAGAAATATTTTTGAAATTATTTAGGAAAAATAAAAAAAAATAATTTGACGCGTTGCGAAATGACCAACATCGGCAATGTTATTCAAAAACAGCTCGATACCGCTTGACTCATATTTCACGAGTGACACAAAAGTGCATTACGGACCAGTAGATTAAACTTTTCTCATCAAGCACGCGGCGGCGAATACTTCCGGCATAACAAGCTCCCGTTCGACCACTCGGTTGATGAAGTACAATAAAGTTTGCTCGCTTACCGGCAACTTCATTGACTGTATTTTCGACGATGACTTTTTCAACCCTCTTTCATGGATTTTTCACGCCCGCGCAAAACCCCCTTTGGATTGCCAGCTGAAATCTTACCGATTTTCTCATAAGTTCTTTCTATCACAGATCTCATTTATAAGTAATCTTGACAACGATAAATAAAAAAGAAGCAAATTTATAAAAGAAATTTTATAAATTTTTTTTATCTTATAATCGTATCGAATATATGTATATATATATATTTAAGTCTCAAAAGAATAGATATTTGTATCAAATTTGTATTAAAGAATGGTAATTTCTACACCGTATTATAATTTCTCTTCAAAAGTTACGCTTAAAAGTACAATTAATAAATTATTAGAATTAATTTATATGTATATGTTTAAAGAAAACACAGAAAACTAGATGCTGCCTAACAGACATCACAAACGGATCTAAAAGATGATATTTTCACCTTTTAACCGACTTCGTAAATCGCAATAATAATCTTTATTCATACTTAGCTAAAGTCATCTCATACATAAAATCTTCAATAAATGAGAATGAGTTTTATATTATCATTAACACTTCTAAATATAACTCAATATCATAATGAGCGACTTTATCTTTTTGAGAATATTTAAGATAACAAAAAATTATGTATAATTTTACCTAAATATAAATAACCTGTTATTCTAGATAATCCACGACTAAAATATTCTCTATTTTAGTTACGTAAAATAAAGTAATAATTAGTATGATAACATTAGTATACATATATTGTATATATAAATAACACAGTTTCATTGAGTCCACAGTTTTTGTTAGCATATGCCACATATGCGTATAATACTATTTCAAACAAGAAAAGTGCATTTAACATATACTTGTTTGTTTAAATATAACTTTAAATTCAAAACTGATTGTAAAAAAACCGAAGGAATTTTTTAAAATGAATATGAAATACATTGTAAGTTTTATTCAGTTGTTATTTAATTGTTTCACTCTTTTGCAATACGAATAACATTATAAGACTTTGATTTATTCTTATTGACATTTCAGATCTTACTTTCTTGTATTATAATGTTGATTAAATTTCCTATGAATAATTCAGCTGCAAAATTGTCCGAAATTATGTCACGTATACGTAGAGAAGAACCGTATGATAGTTCTAGTGAATCTGATAAATCTGATAGTCTCCTAGGTAAGACATTGTACTTCAAATATATTTAAAATATTTATGTAGACAATAAAAGATAATCAAAATTTACTCTTTTGAAAAGATTCCCATGAAAGTGTAACAAATATGGATAACTATAAAAATTTAACAAATATGGAATTCTCATGAATCTACTTTATATAATATTAAGTGTAACTGGGAAAATATGTAATCAAAATCACAGCAAAATTAATTGAAAAGCAAAGAAAAAGCAAAAAAAATATTGTCAGTTAAAATCTGGATTTGAGTCCTGGTTTCACACCTGGTCTTACGTCTAATCAACGCAAGCTTACACCTAATAAAATAGATACAAATTGAAATAAAAAAAATTTATAATTGTTAATTAAAAATCTAAAATAATGTCTTAACATTTAAATGACACCTGATATTATTATAATTTTACTTGGTGATGGTTTATCAATATGGAAATATAAGCATTGTGAAAAATCGTAAAAAAATAAAATAGTTTAATAACTATAATATTGTTTTATATTTTATTTTATTTTATATGTAATACTTGTGACATAATTTCATCCTATAAATTTTTTTCCAAAAATGTGCAAGTTTTATGCAGAATATATCATATCAAAATATATTATATTTATAGATTTATTTGTATAGTTTAATGTTCCAAGAGTCATAAAGTAAAACAGACAAGTTGCTGAGTTTATCTTATGTGTTTAAGATGTTATTAAGGCCAATTTTGCGATTCATTAAGCGTTCACACTATATTTTCATCTTTTTTATATACAGGCATAATGTGCCCTATGCGCACGTAGCAATGATAATCTCAAATAATTAAAAAATAAACCATATTCTCAGTTATGCGCTTATTGCATGTATTAATAATACGTTATTATTAACTTTGCCACTTTCTTATTATAAATATAAATAGCAAACATGTTAGATTACACATTATTGTTTGTTATTATAATTGCATTTTGAATATGATGCAATATCACTCTTGAGCGATTTACTAGATTCTTAATCTATCACGCAGATTATACCCATTGGTAGAATTATAATAATCTACATACATACATATACATGTAAAAAATTGTTTTTTCGTTGCGAGTGTGTGGATGACATTAAGGCAAATGAGGTGAGAAAAGAATGCTATAAAGACAAAGGATCATTCAATCCTATTCAGCTTTAGAAGTTCAGTGGACAACATAACGACACCAGCATAAAACTTAATTTAAGTAAACTGAGAATATGGATTATTTTTTCTTTCAAATTTTTATATCATATAAAAACTGTACATCATTATTCTTAAAATAATTTTAAAACAAATTTATATATACATACATAAATATATGGATATGTATTATGTACATAGTAAATAAATTACTTATTTTAAAATGAAAATTTATTTATGCACATATTTCTAAAAATTATTGCAATGGCACTCACCCATCCCGATCGAAAGCGATGCAGTGATTTGAGAGTACCTGTGGGTCCGCCAGCAGCCGCAGTGATAAAATCGAGGACTGCTCCGGCGGTTGTCATAGGTCACTCGCGACAGTGCCTGGAAGCTCACCTGGGATTGTAACTGACTTCGATAAGCAGATAGATTACATAGAGTATAAAATTAAAAACAAACAATTTATTATGAATTTCAAACTTTATAAAAACATACCTATATAAGTTAAAAACATATATGAAACATTATAGATGAGATAAAAATTGATCAACAATGATGGATTCTTTTTGCGGAATTTGTTGACAGTGCTGTTTGCAATCAGATGTTCAATTCGCGCATCTTGTATAGCTATTAATTTTATTAAACGAGGTGCAGACAAATTTGTCAAAGCACTCGTAAAGCTTACTGAAAGTTACAACTTTTGCTCCAGTAACATTTAGATTTGTGCTATCTCGGATTTTAATCTAGATTTCAGTTTGAATATTATTTGGGATTCGACTGATTAATTAAAAACATGTTCGCCAAAGTTACTATGATGGAGTTAAAAGCATAGAAGCAAATTCAAAAGTTCTTAACATGATAAGTTAATGTACATTGTATTAATAATAAAATATCATATTTTTTATGATTTGTATAATTGTGCCAAACTAGCGTGCTGATAACACTATTCAACAAAAAATGATTTTTTTTTTAACACAGGAACAAGAACTTATCATTTCTTATAGTTTTCTGGAAGCTAAACACAAATTTGTCTTCAAAATTTCTCCATCACGTCACAATTTTAAGAGACATACATTTAAAGTTGCAAAAAGAGCTTTCTTCACGAACTTTGTCATAATATAGCTACAATTGAGACGTGTTAAAGACGTTTTCTTGCCACCAAAATGTACTATTTTGTTAAAATTTTCAACTCTCAATAAAATTTTCGATGTCGGTAATGGTTCATAAGATATCCATAGCTAATTATTAAGAATTAAATGCGTTAATTACAAAACATATAAGAACATATTCAAAACTTTATTTACTGTATTATTCAACAAATATAGTTTATTAATTATTTGAAAGATAATTTAAAAGATTTAAGCATCTGATCTCAAAAGTAGCGAATCATAATTATAATTTATTAAAAATGCTACAGAATAAAAATATGCTGATCAGCTACGAAGAATCTAATATTTCGAATTAAAGACACAAAGAACTTTTCCCTATTTATGGCAAGACCCACGGCAGATACTTAGTAGTTTAGTAAAGATAGCAGCAGATCCAGGTATAATAAAATTGCAAAACCTGGAGCAGATTTAGTCACCAACTCGTAATTGGAACTTCTACAGTAGAAAAACCGGAAATTGGTCCGACAACAGCGAGGTCAACGGAAGATGAACCTAGCGCATTCATTGCAGCGATATGTGCAACAGGTCAAATCAATGGTTACCCAGGTTCTTAAAACATTTAGAACCACTGCGCTATTATATCCTACACTTTAAAACTCACAGAACGACATTGACGTTCCGGAGAAAACAAAGCGATTGCCGCTAAATCGGCGACAAACATCTACATTGGAACATCTATAACGGAATTCACAGTTTCTACAAACTTAATAATTAAACGTTATAAATTTTTTTATTATTTATATTCTATTTATATTACGTTATATATTTTATTATTATTAATTATTAATGCAAAACTGCTTTTTTTTAATATCGCCAATTTTCAAAATTTGATTAAGATTAATATAATTCGAAGTAAAATTTGTATAAACCTATTCATATTAAATTAAATATAATGTATTTAATTAATATTACAGTATATTTTGAAAATAAGCAAGGTGATGCACCAAGCAAGATTTTGACTGAAGGAGCCAAACTGTCCTGGTTTAACTCTCATACAGCATGACTTTAAATAATCGATATGTAGTAATGATAAGTTAATGGAATAGATTTCAATTTTGCGAAAGATTGCTAATAACATGCAGAATGAACCAGTCATGGAGAGATAAGATTGTTGGTGTGTAATAAAAATCATAATCCGTCCTATATATATTTACACATATGATATATATACATGTATTCTATAGCTTTGTTTCTATTTAAAAATGTTAATCAAAAATACTTTAAATTCTTAAAAGAATTAAACAATAAATCAAACACACATATATAAATAAAGTTGTAATGTAATAAGATTTTATAATAATTATTCCTCAAAAAATTTTTGTATAATGTTATATTTTAAGACATTAAAAAATAATTAATAAAATCGTAAATTGCGCATAATGTTTCAATATAAAAATATTCCAAATCTTTTTCTGTTTGCTTTATAATATTTATTATTGAATAACAAGTTGAATTTATTGTGTAAATCATAATATCATCTTATTTTTTGTATAAAAATGTAAACTATTATATAAATTGTTTTTTTTTAACATTATGACTCATTGTCAGATATGGTCTTTCGGTAATTTAGATAGCTAACAATTTAGATAACTGACATATCATCAACGCTGCCTTCTAAATATAACGCAATATCATAATGAGCGATTTTTTTTGAGATAATAAAACTACCTATTATTTTACCTAAATATATATGATCTGTTACTCTAGATAATCGATTAAAATATCTTCTATTTTAATTACGTAAAATAATGTAATAATTAGTATGATAGCAGTAGTATACATTGTATATATACGTGTCTCATGTGGTATTAATAGCATACAGAATTTAGTAATTGTCTTTTTGAGTTCATAGTTTTTGTTAGCATCTGCCACATACGTGTATAATATTACGTTTAAATAAAAAAGTGCTTTTAACACAAACTTATTTTTAAATATAACGTGGAATTAAAACCTGATTGTAAAAAAACCGAAGAAATTCTTTAAAATGAATATGAAATACATTGTAAGTTTTATTCAGTTGTTATACAATTGTTTCACTCTTTTGCAATACGAATAACATTATAAGACTTTGATTATTCTTATTGACATTTCAGATCTTACTTTCTTGTATTATGATGTTGATTATATTTCCAATGAAAAATTCAGCTTCAAAATTGCCCGAAATTATATCACGTATACGTAGAGAAAAAACATCTTATTTTGGGATTCAGAGTAATGGACCTCGTGGTATTATAGGTAAGAGATTATATTCAAATATATTTTACAAATTTATATATAGACAATAAGAGCTAATCAAGATTTATTCTTTTGAAAAGATATCCATAAAGGTTTAACAAATATGGATAACCATAAAGATTTAACAAATATGGAATAACCATGAATTCTACTCTATATAATATTAAGTGTAACTGGGAAAATATGTAATCAAAATCACAGCAAAATTAATTGAAAAGCAAAAAAAAAAGCAATAAAAAATTATTGTCAGTTAAAATCTGGATTTGAGTCCTGGTTTACACCTGGTTTGCTTTACATACAATCAACGCAAGCTTACACATAATAAAATAGATAAGAATTGAAATAAGAAAAATTTATAATTGCTAATTGAAAATCTAAAATAATGTTTTGTCACTTAAATAATATCTGATATTATTATAATTTTACTTGGTGATGGTTTGTCAATATGAAAATATAAGCATTGTAAAAAATCGTAAAAAAAAGAAAAAAAATAAAAAGTTTAACCACTGTAATATTGCTTTAGATTTTATTTTATTTTATATGTAATAATTGTGACATAATTTCATCATATTAAATTTTTCCAAGAACGTGCAAGTTTTATGCGGAATATATCAGAATATATTATATCCAGATTTGTTTGTCTAGTTTGATGTTACAAGGATCATAAAGTAAAACAGACAAGTTGCTGAGTTTATCTTATGTATCTAATTGTAAGATGTTGTTAAGGCCAATTTTGCAATTCACTAAGCGTTCACACTTTATTTTCATCTTTTTTATATACAGCCTTATGAGCACATAGCAATAATAAAATATTGTTTAATCCGTAAAATATTGTTTATTCCGTAAAAACATACATTTAATTCAATAAGAAAAGATACTCTAGAAATTATAGCTATTGTTCTTAAATCAAATTTCATTAACATTACATCAAAATTACAAGCAGTGTAGCATGTATAACTAAAATTGAATTTTCCCGTTTAAAGAGTATAATTTTAAAGTCTAGTAAATAAACTAAAAACAATTAAGAAGTATAAAAATCTTAAATAATCAAAAAATGAATGCGCTTATTGCAAATATTAATAATACGTTATTATTAATTTTGCCACTTTCTTATTATAAATATAAATAATAAGCATGTTAGATTACACATCAATGTTTGTCATTATTATTGCATTTTGAATATCATGCAGTATCATTCTTGAGCGATTTGCTAGATTCTTAATCTATCGCGCAGATTACGCCCATTGGTAGAATTATAATAATCTATATAAATATATAGATGTAAAAAATTGTGTGTTTTTGTTGCGAGTGTGTGGATGACATTGAGGCAAATGAGGTGAGAAAAGAATGCCATAAAGACAAAGGATCATTCAATCCTATTCAGCTTTAGAAGTTCAACAGACAACATAATGACACCAGCATGAAACTTAATTTTAGTAAACTGAGAATATGGATTATTTTTTCTTTCAAATTTTTATATTCATATAAAAACTGTACATCATTAGTTCTTAAAATAATTTTTAAACAAATTTATTTATACATTATATATATACATATATAAATATATGGATATATATTATTTATATAGTAAATAAATTACTTATTTTAAAATAAAAATTTATTTATGCACATATTTCTAAAAATTATTGCAATGGCAGTCACCCATCCCGATCGAAAGCGATGCAGTGATTTGAGAGTATCTGTGGGTCCGCCAACAGCCGCAGTGATAAAATCGACGACTGCTCCGGCGGTTGTCATAGGTTACTTGCGACAGTGCCTGGAGGCTTACCTGGGATTGTTGAAAATTATAGTAAAAATTGTAGTAAATAATTGTAGTTTAAAATATTGATATATACAATTATTATGAACGAGATAGTACAGAGTAGTCCGCTCTTTCTTCGGAAATTTGCTTTTATTGTTTTATATATTTTACCAGATCTTATTACCAAGTCCAGACGTGAATATCGCTTCGTCAGGTTCAGCCAATATTTGGAGATGCAATAAATGATATTGTGATTTTTATTTATAAAATTCTATAAGGAGACAGTTAATGCGTCAGCTACGAAAAATCTAATACTTCGAATTAAAGATACAAAAAACTTTTCCCTATTTATGGCAAGACCCACGGCAGATATTTAGTAGTTTTGTAGAGATAGTAGCAGATCTAGCTATAATAAAGTTGCAAAACCAGGAGTAGATTTAGTCACCAACTCGTAATTGGAACTTCTACAGTAGAAAAATCGGAAATTGGTCCGACAACAGCGAGGTCAACGGAAGATGAACCTAGCGCATTTATTGCAGCGATATGTGCAACAGATCAAATCAATGGTTACCTCGGTTCTTAAAACATTTAGAACCACTGCGTTATTATATCTTACACCTTGAAACCCACAGAACGACGTTGACATTCCGGAGAGAACAAAGCGATTACCGCTAATTCGGCGACGAACATCTACATCGAATAATGGAATTCAGCGTTTCTACAAACTTAATAATTAAGCGTTATAAATTTTATTATTATTTATGTTTTATTTATATTACATTATATAATTTATTATTAGTAATTATTAATGCAAAACTGTTTTTTTTAATATCGCCAATTTTCAAAATTTGATTAGGATTAATGTAATTCAAAAATTTGTATAAACTTAATCATATATTAAATTAAATATAATGTATGCATTTAATTAATATTACAGTATAGTTTCAAAACGAGCAAGATGATACCCTATAAGCAAGATTTCGACTAAAGGAGTCAAATTGTTCTGGTTTAATCCTCTTACAGAATGACTTTAAATAATCGAAATGTGATAATGATAAGTTAATGGAATAGATTTCAATTTTGCGAAAGATCGTTAATAACATGCAGGATAAATCAGTCATGGAGAGATAAGATTGCTGGCGTATAATAAAAATCATGACCCGTCGTAGATATATATAAGTGACACAATTTTTTGGAGTTCATAGTTTTTGTTAGCATCTGCCACATATGTGTGTAATACAAAAAAAGTGCATTTAACACAAACTTATTTTTAAATATAACGTTGACTTAAAACTTGATTGTAAAGAAACCGAAAAAATTCTTTAAAATGAATATGAAATATATTGTAAGTTTTATTCAGTTGTTATTTAATTGTTTCACTCTTTATTAAAATATCACAAATTTTTTTCTGTTTGCTTTATAATATTTATTATTAAAATAAAGTGAATAACAAGTTGAATTTATTGTGTAAACAATAATATTATCTTATTTTTCTCAACTTATTGTCAGATATGGTCTTTCGGTAATTTAGATAGCTAACAATTTAGATAACTGACATTTTGCCTAATAATGATAATGATTACATAAAACAATTACATATAGTTTCATAACAACAGAATATAATTATTTAGTATTTATAATAATGGATACGTATAATGATGCAGTAACAAGTATATGAGTAATTATTACTGCAACATAATTACTATGCCATAGTAGAATAAGAGCTATATATAAATAAATGGCGGGTTTATTAAAATTAAATATTATATATGAGTCATTTATATGTATATACATATATCAGAATTATTTTATATGTATATATATTTTATATATATTAAATACAAAATTAGATGCTGTGCCTGACAGACATCACAAACTGGATCTTAAAGATGATATTTTCATCGACTCGTAAATCGCCATAATAATAATATTTATTCATATCTAGCTAAAGTCATCTCATAGATAAAATCTTCAATAAATGAGAATGAGTTCTATATTATCATTAACACTGCCTTTTAAATATAACGCAATATCATAATGAGCGACATTAGCTTTTTGTGAATATTTGAGATAAGAAAAAATTACCTATTATTTTACCTAAATATATATGATCTTCTATTACTCTAGATAATCGACGATTAAAATATCCTTTATTTTAATTACGTAAAATAATGTAATAATTAGTATGATAGCAGTAGTATACATTGTATATATAGGTGTCTCATGTGGTATTAATCGCATACAGAATTTAGTAATTGTCTTTTTGAGTTCATAGTTTTTGTTAGCATCTGCTACATACGTGTATAATATTACGTCTAAATAAAAAAGTGCTTTTAACACAAACTTATTTTTAAATATAACGTTGAATTAAAACCTGATTGTAAAAAAACCGAAGAAATTCTTTAAAATGGATATGAAATACATTGTAAGTTTTATTCAGTTGTTATTTAATTGTTTCACTCTTTTGCAATACAAATAACATTATAAGACTAACGCTTTGATTTTTCTTGTTCACATTTCAGATCTTACTTTCTTGTATTATGATGTTGATTATATTTCCTATGAATAATTCAGCTGCAAAATTGTCCGAAACTATGTCACGTATACGTAGACATGAAAGTTCTTCTAGCAAATCTGATAGTTTCGTAGGTAAAAGATTGTACTTCAAATATATTTAAAATATTTATGTAGACAATAAGAGATAATCAAAATTTACTCTTTTGGAAAAGGTGGATTGAAAAATACATTAAGTGAATTATTAAAAACCATTAATGCTCTTGTGGATAATCTTCTTTAGCCCGCCTTGTGATAGATTTAATCAAAATCACAGCAAAATTGCAATCAAAAAGCAAAGAAAAAACAAAAAAAATTATTGTCAATTAAAATCTGGATTTGAGTCCTGATTTACACCTGGTTTGCTTTCCGTACAATCAACGCAAGTTTACACATAATAAAATAGATAAGAATTGAAATAAGAAAAACTTATAAGTGTTAATTGAAAATCTAAAATAATGTCTTAACACTTAAATGATATCTCAAGTAGAACAGAAAAGTCAAAATAATGTCAATTTGACGTCATATTGACCAAATTTGAACTTCAAATTTGATCAGTATGGCGTCAAAATGATATTATTTTGATCTTCTGTTCTACTTAGGATCTGATATTATTATAATTTTACTTGGTGATGGTTTATCAATATGGAAATATAAGCATTGTAAAAAATCGTTAAAAAAAAAATAAAATAGTTTAATAACTGTAATATTGTTTTAGATTTTATTTTATTTTATATGTAATAATTGTGACATAATTTCATGATATTAAATTTTTCCAAGAACATGCAAGTTTTATGCGGAATATATCAGAATATATTATATCCAGATTTGTTTTTATAGTTTGATGTTACAAGGGTCATAAAGTAAAACAGACAGGTTGCTGAGTTTATCTTATGTGTCTAAAATGTTGTTAAGGCCAATTTTGCAATTTATTAAAAGTTCACACTATATGTTGATTTTTTTATATACATGCATAATGTGCTTTTGCGCACATAGCAATGATAAAATATTGCTTAATCTGTAAAATATTCTTTATTCTGTAAAAATATACATTTAATTCAATAAGAAAAAATACTCTAGATATTATTTATAGCAATTGTTCTTAAAGCAAATTTCATTAACATTACATCGAAATTACAAGCAGTGTAACAGTGTATCACTAAAATTGAATTTTTCCCTTCAAAAGTATAATTCTAAAGTCTAGTAAATAAACTAAAACCAATTAAGAAAATTAAAATCGCCAAAGTTACTATGATGGAGTTAAAAGCATAGAAGCAAAACTCACAAGTTCTTAACATGATAAGTTAAATGTATACTATATTAATAATAAAATTAATATTTTTTATGATTTATATAATTGTGTCAAACACTAGCCTTCTGATAACACTATTCAACAAAAAATGATTTTTTTTTTAACACGGGAACGAGAGCTTATCATTTGTTATACCTTTCTGAAAGCTGAACATGAATTTGTCTTCATTATTTCTCCATCACGTCACAATTTTAAGAGACATGCATTTAAAATTGCAAAAAGAGCTTTTTTCACGAACTTTGTCATAATATAGCTATAATGTGAGATGTGTTAAAGACGTTTTCTTGTCACCAAAAGGTACTATTTTGTTAGGAGTTTCAACTCTCCATAGAAATTTTCAATGTCGGTTCATAAGATATCCGCAGTTAATTATAAAGAATTAAATGCGTTAATTACAAAACATATACGTACATATTCAAAACTTTATTTACTGTATTATTCAACAAATATAGTTTATTAATTATTTGAAATATAATTTAAAAGATTTAAGCATATGATTTTAAACCTAGCGAATCATATAATATCATTATAATTTATTAAGAGTGCTACAGAATAATAAGTTTATCTTATCTAATATGTTAAATAATACATGATTGTAGTTCAAAGTATTGATATATACAATTATTATGGACGAGGTATTACTGAGTCCGTACTTCTTTCGGAAGTTTGTTTTCATTGTTTCATATATCTTACCAGACCCCAGCGAATATCGCTTCGTCAGGTTCAGCCAACGTTCGGAGATGCAATAAATGATATTGTAATTTTCATTTATAAAATTCTATAAGGAGACAGTTAATGCGTCGAGCTACGAAGAATCTAATATTTCGAATTAAGGATACAAAGGACTTATCCCTATTTATAACAGGACCCACGACAGATACTTAATAATTTAGTAGCAGATCCAACTATAATAAAGTCGCAAAACCAGAAGCAGATCTAGTCGCCGAACTCGTAATTGGATCGTCTACAGTAGCAGAACCGGATATAAGTCCGACAACGTCCAGGTGAACGGAAGGTGAAACTGGCGCGATCACTGCAGCGATATGTGCAACAGGTCCTCGTCAAGGGTTACCCTGTTTCTTAAAGCATCTAGAACCATTACGCTAATATCTCACATTCTAAAATCGACGTTGACGTTCCGAAGAGAACGAAGCAATTACCGCCAAATTGGCGACGAACATCTACATCGTAAAAGACAATTTATCGAAATTCACAGTTTTTACAAACTAAATAATTAAGCGTTATAAATTTTATTATTAATTATATTTTATTTATATTACATTATATATTTTATTATTATTAATTATTAATGCAAAACTGTTATCTTTTAATATCGCCAATTTTCAAAATTTGATTAGAATTAATATAATTCGAAGTAGAGTTTGTATTAATTTTTAATGTTAAATTAAATTTATATATATATATATATATATATATTTAATTATTATTAAAGTAGAGTTTCAAAACAAGATGGTGCACCAAGCAAGATTTCGACTGAAGAAGTCAAACTGTACTGATTTAAACCTCTTACAGGACTTTAAATAATCGATATGTGGTAATCAGAAGTTAATGGTATAATTTTCAATTATGCGAAATACTATTGCTAATAACATGCAGGATGAATCAGTTGTGAAAAGATAAGATTATTGTATAATAAAAATTATGATCCGTCATAAATATATTTACATATGATATATTGATACATATATATATATTTTTGTGCTATCCAAAAATTTCACTCAAGAATACTTCAAGTTTTTAAAAGGATTAAGCAATTAATCAAAATCACATATGTGTATAATTAAAGTTGTAACAAAATAAGATTTTATAATAATTATTTTTATAAAAATTTATGTAATGTTTTATTTGTATTTTATAACGTTAAAAATAATTAATAAAATCGTAGATTTCACAATGTTTTAATATTAAAATATTAAAAATGTTTTTCTGTTTGTTTTATAATATTTATTGTTAAAATAAATGAATAACAAGTTGAATGTATGTGAATTATTGTGTTGAGTAAGTTGAGTTATTGTGTAAAATATAGTGAATATTATCTTGCTTTTTATATATGCATATGAGGCAATGAAATAAATTGCGTTTTTTAAACATTATGACTCATAGTCAGATAGGGTCTTTCGGTAATTTAGATAACTAACAATTCAGATATTAGGCATTGTGGAGAGTACTTATTGTACGTATAAACTGCGGATCTATTAAAATAAAATATTATATATGAGTCATATGTTGAAATGCTTCAGAATTGTTGCAAGAGATATAGTAAAGTACAATATTTATAAAATAATTTATTAAAATTATATATAATTTCTAAAAACAATAATTATTTATAATTGTTTATATTTGATAATAATTATAGTTTTGAAAAATTATACATAATTATATAAAAATATAATTATATATAATCTGTGCAATATTGTTTTAGATTTTGTTGTATTTTATGTACATATAAATAATATTAAGAGTACATATAGTTAGTTGTTACAATTTTATTACATTTATCTTTTCTAAAATTTTTTGTGCAAGTTTATTTTATACAGAATATATTACTTTTTTAAGTTTCGTTTTTACGAGTTTCAGCGAATTTCATTAACGTACATCGGAATTATAAGTCAGTGTAACATATATATCACTAAAGAATTTTCCCGTATCAAAAAGTATAATTTTAATTCTAAAGTCTAGTAGATTCTATATAAATTAAAAACAATTAAAAGATTTGAAAAACTTGAAAGATCAAAAAATCAATGTACTTTCTTGCATATATTATTAATATGTCGTTATTAATTTCGCCGCTAGTATAAATAAAAATAGCATATTAGATCGCACACATCTCATTCTGCGATACGGCTTTACAAAGATTTCCATTACATGGTCCGCTTTCATAAGAATTCATAATACTTGTTGCGCGAAACTATGCTTCTTTAAGCGCAGAAGAGTCCTCTTTGAAATGGTAATATATGTGGACGATGTAGTCATAATTCTCGCAGTTTCCATAACCACAAAAACCAGACAATATAGAGCAACGAGAATTTAAAGCCGTATGAGAAATTACACGACCAGATTATGATGTTTATTCCGTTATAATAAGAAGTATTATTACACTTGTGATCAAAAACTGAAATTAAAATGACTTGTGTGCGCAAAATGTCGCTGCACGACAAAATTTTGTACTTTTTGTTACATTCCTGAGCAATTTGATGTATAAAATAATTTCAAAGCAATTAATTAAAACAGAATAAGATTGAAAAAAAGAACAGGTTAAAAAGAGAATCCTTTAAAATGGTTAACATATAAAATATTGTAAATTTTATTCACTCGTTATCGTTTATTACACACTTTTTGCAATGCCATTGATGTCAAACATATGTATTTCAAAGACAGTTATTGCGATATTTTCTCTTAATACTTTCAGATCTTATTTTCCTGTATAATGGTTTTACTTCTCGTACAAATTGTAACTGCTTTGATGGCAAAATCAGATACAGATGTAAAACGAATAAATGAAAACCAAGAGTCAAATCCATACAAAGGACCAGATCCAAACAAAGGATCGAATTCAAGTGAAAAGTATATGATGATATGCAAATATTTGTTTAAATATTTCTGATGTACATTTATTTGATATACATTTATTAAATTACTGAAATACGAAAATTAAAATAACCCAATTTAAATATTAATAAAAATAAAATTGAATAAAAAATTGAAAAAAGTTTATTCAGTTCAGGTATTATTTTTCGACTTAGAATCCAAACTCAGACCTTTGGTTTGTACTTCAATTTCGATTTAAATTTGGATTTTATTTCGGATTCTTGTTTAAATTTAGTAGATGATTTAGAGGATGTTTATATTTTATGCCGCATTTAGCTCCATTAACGCAAGATCACAAGTATTAAAATAATAGAATAAATTTTTTATTATTATTTGCAAAATATAATTTTTGTTTTATAATTAAATCATGATCATTGGCTTCACTCGTCGAACATAAAGAAATAGAAGAAATTTATCGATTAATAATATTGTTTTGGAATATATTGTGTTTTTACGTATTATAATAATTGCAATTATTACACGCGATTATGTAATAAATTTTATGAAGGAATGTGCAAGTCGAGCAGACACATGCTCGAGCACCGACTGTGTTGCTTGAATTTAAAACATGCATGATATTAAAACATACAGCGTAGTGTCACGAGAGTGTCAGCAGTGCTGACATTTGTCTTGCGTGTCCCACAGCTGTCGCTAAGCTGCTTCAATTTCGCAATTCGTCTGGTATATATTTCTATTCTGCGAATATGTGTGTGCACGCTAGTGCTCCATATGTCACAATAGTAATGATAATATAGTCTTATACAACTTGCAAAAAATTGTGACATAGTTTACAACTAATGCTGTTAAATACAGACGCTACTGCACACGTAGAAAGTGTTGATATTATTGTCATTAGACTACATCTTAATATCAAATATATTGCAATATAAACATTGCTATAAGAAAAATGAAAGAACGAGGTTTATTTAGATCACCGAAATACTATTAAAGTTTATTTAAAATTATTTTTTTGAGTTAGAATCCGGCAAATTAGTACATAAATTTATGTACGAGTTTAAATTTCAGACTTTGAAATTTTAATTTAAATCAGTAAAAATATTATTTCAGAATTGTGATACCATTTTAAGAAAAATTCACATTATTTCTAAATGACACTCTAAACATATAATTTTTAATTTTAATGTATATTTTTAATATTTATAATAAAATTATTTAGTGCGATAATAATTAATTATAAAAATTTGTGACGGAAGATTTGACAATATAATATTATTTGATAATTATTGTAGTTTTTTTACTTTTGATAATTATAAATATAATTCATCATTGTTGCAATTATTTTTATATTAGAGACAACACTCTACAAAATGTAAACAAAGCAAATATTCATACAGATGTATTATTTAAAATTTAAAGTACCAATGTTCTCTGTAGAGCGTGCTACGATTTATTTTTAATTTTTAATTATTTTAAGTTCATTAATTTATAACTGCACAAAAAATAATATATGTGCTCTCTTTTACATAACAGTTTTATTTTATTTCAACTTTAGCTTATGCATCAGAGATTTTTTGTTATATGCACATATGTATTATGCCATTGAATCATATATGTATAAATATTATAATAAATGGATAAGATAAGAACAAATAAAAAAATGAATAGAAATGCTATTTAATAAATTGAAATACATTTCGAAACGTTTCGAATTATTATCGATAATTGTACACATTAAATTATATACGGAAATTTCATGACTTGTTACAATAATCAGAAAAATATAAAAAAATATACATACATAAGAATGGGCGAAAAAAATACATACACTCATCTTGTTATTAATATAATAATATGCATGTTTGACTGCACATTGTAAACGACGCTATGTACGACGGCGTTTACAAAAGTTTCAATTTACATGGCTCGCTTTTGTAAGAACTTATAATACTCGTCGTACCGAACTATGTTTCCCTGAAACGCAGGGAAATCCCCTTTGAGATGATAATGCGCGCGGATGATGTAGTCATAATTTTCACAGTTTCCAGCCGCGCATAAGCTATACTATGGAGATGGATACGAGCGGATGATGATGATGAGACAGGTCCATTATGACGCGGCGTCTTGCGTTCCGTGATTAAAAAAGCGCAGATTAAAAGAACGATATCCGTCGCGATATCAGTCGCGGCGCGAACGATGCATCGCGAAGCGAAAAGGGAAATGATCTTCAACGTTCGCCCGAATGTCGCGTAGACACTAACACAGAGAATACAGGAGGGGACTGATTGGTGTGGCATTGAGGCAATTTCCAGCAATTACCGGGGACGGATATTGTCGCGCAATAGAGACATATCGGAACTAATGCAACGGCGACGTACCTAATGGATAAATAGAGGCCAGCCAATTCCGATTAGCTTCTAAGAAGATATTATACCGATATAATGGACCTTGACCGCTTGAATTTTAATTTTTGATTTTTAATTTTGCTGTACATATAATGAGAAGAAAATGTCTCATTAACTTTAGATCGTTTTTATATATTTATAATTATAACAAAAGCATGTCAAAGAGAATAAGCGAGAAATAAACTAGATTATAAATAGAGAATTATTTGATCATATATATTTTAATACTAGACAACACAAGCAATCGTTTCTATCGTTTTACAACTGTCAAATTATTAATCTTTGTAATGACAGTTGCTTGATGCTCTGACTATAATTTTAATTCGCCGAATTTCTATTATGTACATAATTTTAATTCGTCAATTTATATTATATACATAATTTTAATTCGCTGAATTTCTATTATGTACATAATTTTGATTCCCGAATTTCGATTATGTATATAATTTTAATTTATTAAATTTCTGTTAGATAATTTTAATTTGTCGAAATTCTATTGTATTGTTTGAGAACTATTTTGTATATATGTATCCCTCTATATTTTTTTTTCATTTTGTTTAGTTTAATCGAATATAATTACGTACGCAAAACAAAATTATTCTTTGGTAATAAAACCTTAAAAATTGCAATGCATTTATAAAATTATTATTACAATGCATGCAACGTATGCATGCAAAAGTTATTATTGCAATCAATAGATAAAAAATATATTAATTAATTATACAACGCATAAAAATTCAATATTTAAATCTTTAACAGAAAATACGAACGAAGAAATAAAATTTTCTAGAAGAATCTTTTGTGATCAAATATTTACACTTTTATTAAACTCGCGCGAGACTCTATACCTCCTACATCCATCATATTGCGCGGCTCGCGCGAAACTGATTCTCGTGTGGGATATCGCGAGCGCGGGACCGATGGTCACATGACTAGTGGTCACATGACCAGTGGGCCACTAGTCACGTGATCTCGGCTTCGCACTCGCGATACCTCGCACGAAAATCAGTTTCGCGCGAACCGCGCAGCGTAACGGATGTATGGGGTATGAAGTTTCGCGTTAGTTTAATGAAAATGTAGATATTTGATTACAAAAGATTCTTGTAGAAAATTTTATTTCTTGTTCGTATTTTTTGTTAGAGATTTAAATATTGAATTTTTGTGTTGCACAATTAATTAATATATTTTTTATGCACTTATTAAAAATTTTTGCATGCATGCAAATTTTTAGATTTTATTATCAAAGACTAATATAACTTTGTTTTGCGTGCGTAATTATATTTGGTTAGATTAAACCAAATGATATATAGTAAAATGTAATAACTTGTCAGTGTAAAAATAATAAAATCCTTTATTTCTTCTCAACCAAACTGACTATATTTTTATTAAATCATACTCTACATTTCGACCATCGGTTGATATATTGATGTTATTAATATAACACACAATGTTAACTGAGATAATCAATCGCAGCATCGCGGAAAAGCAGCAACAATATTGCGATAATTAACTTTGCATGCCTTTTTAGAAAGGGATTTTGTAAAATAATTGAAAAATATTCTGATAAATGTAAAACAAATTTTGATTTATGTAGATATATTAGACATAATAATAAGACAAAAATATGAGATGGGAAATATAAAATGCTAAAATTTTTGTTCCAGAAGTGCATTTATTATTATTATTATTATTATTATTATTATATATAACAATGTATATACGAAATTATGTTATGTACACGTAACATACATATAAGAGAAAGATACATCAAATGACGAAGATCGCGATGTGTGATCGAGTTGGCGAGTATCGGAGAGATCAGTCGCGGAGGTCCTTCATGTTGACAAATAATGCGAATTACCAGTGTCCAGGTGTATATCCACGAATGATTCCGCCTAATCCGGCGTGTCCAGCAGTGATGCTACCAGATGGGCCAGCAATCAGAGCTGGAGCTGCGATTGGTCCTGCGAGGGCTGCTGGACCTACAGCAGGTCCGGCAAGAACCGCTCCTGAAAGACACAGAACATTGGAACAGGTAAAAATAAATAAATATTTGATAAAAAATAAATATAATACACAAAAAACAAAAAGACTCAGACATATAAGTACAAAATTCAAGTAAAATGAGGACTAATAAGAGCCGGGTTCAGAAATTAGGCGCAAAGTTGTTTTAAATTTTCATTCTTAAATTTGAACATTTTGATCCTTTCTTTGGATTATTATCAACAAATCGATTAATAAAAATTTTTTTACTTTGCAAAGAGTAAGGTAGGGATGTAAATTAAGATGCATGGATTTTTTGTCAATTAATTTACTCATGATGATCCAAATATAGGATTGCAATTTCAAATTTAATAAAAAAGATTTGTAAACAAGTTTGTTGCGCCTAATTACTGCACCTGGTTTTAATTAACAAGGATTAAATAAAACTGTTAACTGTTAACTTTTATAAATATAACATTATTTATGAATTTTTAACTTTCAAATTATTTTCTTTCTGTTTTAAGTTTTAATTTATAATAATATTTAATTGTTTCTCTGTGTAAAAGTTTATTTTTAATAGTTATTTTAATTAATGTTAAAACAGTTCTGAGAAAACATATATTTTTAAAGTTTATTTTAATTTAAATTATAAAAGTTGGAACTTGTTTTAATTAGTATTATTTAAATTTAAAAAATTAAAAAGGCTGTATATCGAAATATGGAAAACAAGCTATTGATCGCGATTCAAGAAGCGTAAATGAATCAGAACTTCTGAAATAGAAATCGGTGTATCATTAACTGAGAAGAGAACCATATGTTTCTGTAATTTTATATATTTTATATATTTTATATAATTTATAATAACATATTTAAACAATTATTACTTTATCGTAACCATGCACAAACCCCTGTGTAATATTAACGGAAGAAAAACGCGTTTGATCATCTCCACAAACTTTTACTTTTTCAAAGTAGAATAAAAGTTCCTGTTTATCTGTAACTTTTTTCAACTTAGGAAAAAATAAAAGTTTCTCGTTTATTTAAAATTTACGAATAAAAGTTTTAATAAATAGACTTCGTTTTATAACTATTTTCTGGAAATAAAAAAGAAAGTACTGTTATTTAATAGCTAATTGAAAATTTTAATAGTTTCGTTCAATCCTTTATTAGCCTATTTCTTGAATTTTGTAGTAAATAAGTAATTGCGTATTTTAAACAATTTAAAGACAAAGCTGATAATAATGTTTTCTTGAACGAGAGAAGTTTCTCAAATCTAAAGCAAGTGTAATTCTGCTCTTTTAGAGTCATTTAGGTACTTTATAGAATGTCTATAGAATATACTTTATATAATATCTTTCAAGTGTTACTTATTTAAAAAAACAATCAAATATATATTTATAGAAAGATTAAAATTTAATTTCTTTCATTATAAAAGAGAAAAATATTATTAAGTTAATAAATTATAAAATAAATTTTATATTAAAGAATAAATTCCTTAGAATAAAAAACGGACAAATAAAAGATTTTATAATTTTTTAAGATTAAAAAGTCGAGATAAATATTAAAATGTAAATTGTAAATTATTATAAGATTCCTAAGCATTACATTGCATTGGAATAACATTATGTAATATTGATTTGCCAAAAATCAGAGAGCAAACAAGTTAATATAAACTATTAATTTATATCAACTATTATTAAATATTATGTAGATTAATTAATATTAAGATCATGTTCACATAACAAAGCCATATTTATATTATAATATATTAACGTATCAATATTTAAATTGTAAATTGTCTCTCTCTCTCTCTCTCTCTCTCTCTCTCTCTCGATTTCTCTTGTCATTAATTTCTCAAATTCACATCTCTTGTAGATAACATTAATAATAAATTTTTAAATATAAAATTTATAATATTCAACTTGCCATTCTCTTCACTGTAAAAAAAATTTGTAAAATTACATTTAAAATATATAAAATTACATAAATAATAAATGTAAAATTACATGATAAATAATGAAAAGGTAAACATTTCTATTATTTATCGTGTAATTTTACACTTATTATTTATGTAATTTTACATATTTTTGTGTAATATATTACATATTTTTTTACAATTTCTGTTGTCTACAATTTCTTAAATACACATCTCTCTTAGATAACAATTGATAATAAATTTAAAAATAATAAAAAATAAAAAATTTATACCATTCACATCCTACATTTAAATTCGATACAAATAAATCCTTGTCGTATCTCACCGTAAGCTCCAGGCCATCCCAAGGCGGCTGGCGCCGCCAGTCCAAGAGCCGGGCCAAGCAGCGCCGCATGTCCGGTGACGCTACCGGAAACGACCGACGGTCCAGCGACCGCTCCGGTAACGACGGCGCCGCCGTCAACAGCCCCGGAAATGCGCGCGGGTCCGACGGCCGGTCCGGCCAGTACGGACGGTCCATTAGCCGGTCCCGCGAGAGTCGCGGGACCCAGAATCGGGCCGGCCAAGGCGGCGCCGAGGCCCAGGTAGGCCGACGGGGCCGCGTTCGCCATCGACAGAGCCGCTACGAGGAGGATCGCGATCGAGGAATACATGACGAAGAGGTAGTGGTCGAAACCGAGAGAATTTTCCTTCAACGGCTGAGGTGGATGTGGCTGCCATCGATCGATGTCCGGCGCGCTTTTATAGGGACATCTCGTCTATCCCCAAACGTGGGGTCCGGTCGACTGCTCGCCGACCTCAAAGGGCGGGGCACCAGGACACGCCAAACATTCTCCGCGACGCCTTATCGGCGTCGAGTCTCTGTCACCTGGTATTGGTGACACTCCGCAGAGTGTACACCTATATACCTCCATAAATATCTCACCTCTCTCGTGTGTGCACGAGGGTCGCGCCGCTCCATTTCAACGCATCCGTCTATGGCATGGGCTCGCGCGCGTTGCATTTCCCTCGGTCTGTTTGCGCAATCGGCAGTAGTAACAACAGATCGATATCTCGATGCGACATATCGCCTTTTGTTAACTCCCTCTCGAGAGCGCATACTTGAAAATCTGATTGACGTTAGGTCAACTTGTTGAAAGGCGAATGACGTATAGTCCTTATCCACCCTCGGCGTTCGACGCGTTCATTTTTTTATTTCCAGCATCTCTCTTTTATCTCGTAGATTCTTCGAGGGCCGGTTGTTCCGAAGGTCTCTTGCTAAATTTTACCTGTCAGCATACTTTCGTTTTTTTTTTTTTTTTTTTTTTTTTAGATAAGTTTAAAAAAAAGACGAACTTATGCTATCTGTCAAATAAAATTTACGAAGAGGTTTGACAGGTCAGGATACTCATTAAAATGAAGTGTATAAAAAATGTAACCAATATGGCGGCCAACTCAGGCCTGTCATAATATAATAATATATTTATTATAATAAACTATTCTTAATATTTAATATTTATTCCGACGGTTTTTTAACCGTGTTTATTTTTAACATTTTTGCGCACAAGATCTAACACGAAACTGTCAAAAAACTGTCAAACTAAAAACAAATCTGCGCTGGAGCACATTGAATAAATCGACCTGAGTTGGCAGCCGTATTAGTTACATTTTGTTACGCTTGACAGGATGTAGTCGATATACAAGAAGTTTTCCTGACCTGTATATAAGACCGTGGTTTGAACAACCGACCCTAAAAGAATAAAAAAAAAGCTATATAAATGATAGGAAAAAAATGCACTTATTGCTCGAAGATGTTTACTTGATTTGTAACGCCGTCACGTGTTTTGTCTTGTGAAGGATGATATCAGCTGTTTATCTTGGCGCATTCAATCATCCTAACGACCTTGAGAGCAAAGACGACTGAAGTGTCTCTATGTCTACGTGTCCTCTTCCTGCTTTCTCTCGCCGCGGTAAATAGACACGTATCTGTCGCCATTAGACCGATTACATTGCATTGCATTGTGCATTCGTCTAGGCGAGGCACGGATTGCATTGCCCACGCATCATTCGAGGTTCGCAGATTGTCGCGAGGAATGAGGGTCCTATTGTTACATCGGATACGAATGCGTGTGCGTGTGTATCCGCATGTGGGTATGTGTGCGTATCACCAAGAGTTCGAAACATATCTCTCGCAGACAGGAATCGTTTGCGGTGCCATTATCGGGTATCATACACCAGCAATGGTGGACTGTTGATTGAGAGATACGAAAATTCTCCTTTTTGCCACCTTTTTCCATATCATCGTGCTTTCTCTTGAAATCAATTGGAAAGAATCGCAGCTCGAACTGTGTGTATCTACCTATATGAAGAGTAACAGACGTGTCAACTTGGACATTTCGTCATTTCCTTTCACGATATCTTTTTCTTCTCCGCGAGAGGGAAAGAGGAAATGCATTGTGCGGGTATCCGATGTAATAGATCGAAGATTCTCAAAGTTTCTTGATTTACGAAAACCGACGTTTCTTCCACACAGCAGAATTTGGCGAGATTCCAACGTCGAATCTTCTCGTAAAACGATTTTGGGTCTCATCAATCAAGCGACTCTTCGATAAAACTATACGAATAAACGATATATTTATTCTGTTAGTTATATTTAATTTGTACACGGAGAGAATAAAAAATATTAAAATATGTACATAGTAAAATTAATCGAGTATATTTTATATCTTATTGTAGTAGATATTAACATTTTTATTGTGGTAAATATTAATCAGAAAAACTCTGATAAAACTCTTTCAATACCATATTGTCCCACGATTACCATGATTTTCAGGGCAAATTTTAAGAGAAAATTCTCTCTGTGTATAAACCACACTACATTTTGTAATTGTATAGTTTAGCATTGTATCGCTATTATTCTTGCATATGGAACAATTTATAAATTAATCGTTTAGTCGCGCGTTGCACAATATTATTGGCAGTTCTCCGCTTATTGTTAGTTATCAAAGCACATCCGCGAAACGCGATCGGCTAAGCAAAATTTTTGGACTACGTATGTATACATATGCACGCGTGTATACATGCCGATATCTCTTCTAACTGGTTTACAATTACAAAGCTTGAAACATGACATAAACGGATTATCAAAGTTGCTTACAAGCGTGCACATCGCGTGCATTAATCGATTACCATTCGGCTAATGGTTCTGCCGAGCCGTCGGCCGCAACGTTACATGTTTTCATCAAGGTGATCAGCGGTAGCCGCTGTAAATTTAGATTTGTACATCATCAATCACCGAGCACTGCCAAGCGAGTCCTGCTACAAGTACTACTGCACGGTGGCGCAGAGATGGCTTATCCTTCATTGCGTGGATTTTCGATATGCAACAAGATTGATCGATCGCGCCACCGAATTATTTGTCCGCCAAGTGCGATAGATCGCGCACCATTGATCTCATCAGACCTCATCGTCCTTTTTTTCCTGCAAGTTTATTCGACATTACAGAGCACATATTTATTCATATAATATTTTAATTGATTTAATTTAATTTAATTTTATTTTTATTTAATTTTTTAGTGTTATTATAATATTTATTATTAATATAAAATATTATTGTTATCTCATCAGATCATCACCTTTTTGTCTCCTGCAAATTTATTTGATATTATAGAGCATGCATTTATTAATATAATATTTTAATTTGATTTAATTTAATTTAATTTTATCTGTATTTAATTTTTTAGTTTTATTATAATATTTATTATTAATATAAAATATTATTGTTATCTCATCAGATCATCATCCTTTTTTTCTTCTGCAAGTTTATTCGATATTATAGAGCATGCATTTATTCATATAATATTTTAATTTGATTTAATTTAATTTAATTTTATTTGTATTTAATTTTTTATTATAATATTTCTATTAATTTGTAATAATGTACTATAGTTCGCATATATCATCGCACTTAATAATTATATGTGTGTATTAATATAAAATATTGATATTATTGATAATAATGTTTGAATATGTATTAATATAAATTATTATTATCATTAATGTTAATAATATAATAGTTTATTGATATACACTCACATATGTATCAATAAATATCATAGCTTTTTTTATCTATTTATCCGCGCAAGCTGTGAGTGCCTTTCCCGAGTAAATAGCACTTATCAGTCTATTGTAGCGCTGGTCTGTAACACGGTTGAAAAATCTCCCTCTCTTCGAGATCTCGGAGCAAATACAATCCTCTGTATCTCCGATAAACCACGCGTCTCTTGCGCGAAGCTGATAAAATCGCCACCCGGATCGTTGATCTCGCCCGAACTCGCTTGGGTGCGGTTTGACGTTTCTGATCCCGGGTCGAGGCTGCGTCGCGTAGACGCACGGCTGTTTTCGATCCGATTAATCGGATTTTTTTCAAACCTCGTCACGCAGGCTCCGCCCTGATTCCGCCGCAAGTTCGCGCGTCCCACGTGCGTCCGCGGGTTGCATATCCCGGGCTATAAAAGCTCACTTAGCATCAGCTTGCGCGGCAATAGTTCCGCGATGGTGATGGCCGATGGAAAGTTGCCGCATCGTCGAATCGTCCTCGTCGACGGGGATCAATCGGTCGCCGGGCTTCGATGAGAAGCGGAGCTCGAGAGCTGGATCCAGCTGGATGCGAGCGAAACTTTGCGGCGAAGAGGATTCTCGGCGGCGCTTCAGGTGTTTACAATTCAGGTGAGCTGTATTTACATGAAGACTACAAACTGTTGAACTGGCAGTAGCGTGCAACAGGCATTATTTAAAAAGTTTCATATCTCTCTCTACGTGAAATCTCAGGAAAAATAGTTGCTCGCATTATCCGATAAACGCGAGAACGTTATGTCATAAAAATCGCATTTAGAGATATAATAAAAAAATGCCGGTGACTTATAGGGACGTTTTAATGGTATCAATTTTTAATTTTAGATTCGATTATACGGCAGTGATTTTTTTCGCGAGGCAATTAAAAATAATTATTATATCCCACAAGAGTCTAATAAATTACTCTCAATTTCGATATCGATCAATAAAAGGTACGCAATTATTTTAGTCAGAAAAAAATTTGTTTCCCGAAAAATTGGGAGCAGTATATATTCGATAATTTAATTTAAAAATTGTTATGCAAACATTTTATTTTACCATCAAATAAATATGTATATAAATCTAAATATATAAATAAATATATCTATATTGAATCCATTTTGAACAATCAATTATTTTTTATATTTAGAAAAAATATTTGAAGCAAAAGTTGTGTATAGTCTGGAAAAATTAATTTTCGAAAAAATCAATTTTTTAAAATCATCTTATTCTATTTCTAAAATGTGATGTCCTATTTTCGACAGCAAATTTTTGTAATATTGAATCGTTTTCAAAGACTTGTAATTAGTCATATTCTATTACAAATTTTCCGATATCATTTTTTAATTTCATCCTTATTTGTCTTCCAGATCATCTAACTTTTATCTGAAACATTTTAATTCTAAAATAAAAAAAAATTGAGAACGAGAATGAGCAAATTCGCGAAATATTTAATGAAACAATTCCGCGTTCTCTTCTCTCGAAAATTCTATAACACATTCTTTTGAATTTCTCGTAGGCTCTCTTCGAAAAGAAAAGTGCGTCGTGCGCGGATCTGCATTCCGAAACTCTCATGGCCGTTGAAGGATTTATTGATCGACCTTGCGCGATCTGCATCGGCTGTCCGA